CAGATCTGGGAGCTGTTGACTCCATCTGAGGGCTGATCGATGGCCCAGGCACTGCCTGTGTCTCTATCTCTGATAGCTCCATTCCCTCTTCCCCCTCGGAGCTCTCTGATTGCCTTGATGCTGGCCCTGACTCCCACGCCACCCCCTCATTTGATTCGGCTGGTAAAAGGGTCGGCGGCCAACAGGCCAAAACACTTCTCTCTTTTCTCTGTCAGATACTACACAGAAAACACAGTTAAATATAGTATCTGTCTCTGCAGTTTTAGTATTTCTAAATGTATTCTACATAATTTGTTCTTGGATAAGTGTTCCTGACAAGCTCAGAATTCTCTTTTCTTCTTCCTTCCCTTCCCTCGCTTTCCTGGAAACATCATAAAATGTTTGAATGTGTTTTTGTCTCAAAGCATCACATTTTATTGCCTTCAGAAAAGTCCTGTATGACTTTTCATATTAGCTCTTACCCACAGTGCAATTAAGACTGGGCAACATTTTTTTTCCTGCTGTGTCCTCATAATCATCTGTTTCACAGCTGATACGTCTTGCCTCATATTCAGCTCTATTGAGGTTAAAGATAAATCATCTTCATTTTGACATATTTCAGTGGCAGCATCAAGCTAGGTAAAATCTGCTAGGCTTTGCCACCTTTGGGAGATATCAGTTGACATTCTTTAAAACCTGGAAATATTGCTAAATATAGGATGCACCAATTCTGTATTCCAAATTTCTTGTATATTCAAAATTTATTTATTTTTTATTTTATAATTTTTATAATAGTATATTGCCAGTTTACTTAAGGCCTTCTCCAGGCTTTTCAGGGTTTCAGAGGCAGCAAGAGCACTGCTACATAAAGCAATGTACATGCCAAGTGCTATAATTGTATTTCCATCTAATCTTTCTAGGAAATTTTATTCTGAAAAAATTCTGAAATATTTTAAATGTATCATTACTTGATTAAACATAATGATTCTTTTATGAGCAGATATCTCCACCACACAAAATATTATCAGCCATCTTAAAATAAGAATTGGCCCATGTTCGTATTTTTCTTTAAAGGAAAAATCAAGTTTAAACGTTCTATTCAAAAAGACCCAAATATGCCTTCATTGCTGAAAATACAACCAAATTCTAACTACAGTTAGAACCAAGAACTGGCCAAGATGGCAAGGTGCTACATAATATCCCTGATTTACTGTGAGGTTGGCAACTAACTCCCAATGGTATTGTTTAAACTGAGAAAAATTAAAAGCATTACCTTTTAAATGACATAACTTTAATAAGGAGATACTGAATAATTTAACTGCTACCGTAATCTGTTTAAAATATTTATGTGAAAGCTATATGAGTATGTATTGCTTTCAAAAATATCTATCAGTGTTGTTGCAAAATTCATTTTCACAACATTACTTCTTTCCCGCGTTTAAGGATATTTTCATCCATCAAAAAGTAATCTCTTTCATCTGGGTGATACTGCTTGCAGTGTTCTTAACCACTAAATTGGATTTATGATTTTACCTCATTGCAAAAGTTACAAAGGAGAATTCAATCATTTTCCAGGTTTTTCTCCTTTTCCTAATATATATGTTTCTTTTATGTTATCTTAAATCTATGTCTAAAGCATGGAAGGTTGTTCCAAAAGGCAGGACTCCCAAGTCTAGGAGGAGCCCGAAGTTGTTTGCCAGCTCTATCCAGGGAAGTATTACCTCACTGAAGGTAAAATATATCACATCACCAGACCTTTAGGAAAACCCCAAAGTTACTCTGTCTTGCTAGGATTGATTCAGAGCTGGCTGAATGGCACTGCCTGCCCAGCCAGGGGTGGAAATACATGACTAGGATAATAATTACAGGTAATAATGCACCCTGTGCCATTAAATGACCTCGCCTAGTGATTTCTTGTGTAAATTAAAGAGGAGTGGCAAGAGGCAATAGACCTTTCCCTCTCAATACTGTTGAGGTGTAGAGGAAGGAGTAAAATCATTGCAAAACAGTGTCCCACATTCTCAACCTCCAAAGCCAGTCCAGAAAGGTACCATGGTCCATGGTATTGAATGCTCCCAAGAAGTCCAGGAGGTCCAGATGGGTTGCACCATCCCCATCCCAAGCCATTCAGAACTTATCCACATGATCACACTTTCTCAGTACTGGAACTTGGCCTGAACCCTGGCTGGAAAGGGTCCAGAGAATCTACTTCTTGCAGGGGTCTTTTGAAGCTAAGCACCTACCAGCCTTTCAAGAACTTCTCTAGAAACTGATTGAAAACTGGGGGAAAAAAGTTATCTAACACTGTCTGATCCAAGGATAGTCTCTTGAGAAGGAGTGTATAGCTATATCCTTCAAGGCAAATAGCACTACCCTCTCCCACAACGAGGCATTAATCATCATTTGGAGCCAATCAAATGTTAACTCCCAGGAGTCTAATCCAGAACATAGGTGTCTAAACTCACAGCAGTGATCTTCAGGATTAACTAATTTAAACTCTTCTCAGATAATTCAGATCTTAGACGTTCTCAGGCACTTCCAAAAAACTTGCCCAGCTTGAATCTAATTCCAATGAAGTCAAGCCACTTCATCTGATAGATTCCAAGAATATTCCTCATAGTAATTCTTCAAAGCAACTCCCTTACCCAGAAGAGACCTGGTTAATTGAAACAGCTGCTGGCCCGCTGTCTGCATATGCAGTAAGAGTAGAGATGTAAGCTTAACACAGGTCCTAATAAAGATCAACTGATGCCCAAATGACTTCATCCTTCACATATCACCAATGGTGCTCTAGGCATCTCTTGCTTCATCTCTTGAAGCTGCTACATGAACTAAGAAGCTCTACAGGATTCATGATCACAGAATTTCATAGAGGCACAATCTGGTTCATGAGCTGTCCATATTAAGGGATTAATATTAATATCACTCAATCCCATATCATCACACCACAGCCCCAAAACAAGAACCAGATTTAATATATGATCTCTGTGTTGGATATTTAACAAGTTGGACTATGTCCATGGTTATTACCATAATGGCCACAAACACCTGATCTTCTGAGCCCACCAGATATTCTTGGATGTCAATGGCCACTCCCCATCTTTCACCTGGAGGCTAGTGCTGTACCTGAAACCCAGGAAACATCTCTAAGTGGGGAACACTCCCTCCAAGTTTCAGTGCTGAAAGTCAGTTCAGTCCTCTCATTCAGGATCAAGTTGTGAATAAGTTTTACTACATACCAATCTAGTATTAAGAAACAGCAACCAGAGTCTGAAGCTATCAGAGCAAGAGACCATGTGCTGGAGCTTAGCTCAGGAGGCTGGAATACACTATTGGTCCTAGATAGGGAGGCTGCCTTCCCAATGGGAGGTCTTCCCTCTCCATCGAGACACAGATAAGCCCCAACCAGGTTACAAGGGCTTTGATCAAGCATTTGGCAGTCACCCCATCCCATATCGCCCAAAAAACTAACAAGCCACACTTCACTCCCACTATTTCCCCATGCTTCTTCCCCCCTCATTAGCCTGATCTCATCCATGCTAAGTGAAAAGCTTCATAATGAGCAGGCATGTTAGTAGAATTTCACCACACCCCTTCCTGTATATCACTTGAAGGCAGCAGTCAGTCCACTCACTATAGAATATATACATTTATAGAACATCTATAGGATAGTCTTTGCTTGACACCTTAATTGTAAGTCTGAAAAAGGATGCTTAGTAGAATTATAACAAAATTAGTGGATATGAAAAAAGCTGAGGCTAGAATATTATCGCTGAAAGAATGAGAATGAGAGCAATATTATATATTGTGTATGTAAAGAAGAAAATAATTGTAAGGAATCTAGTAAAAGACAACATTACTTAGTTATGTTTTTAAAAGGCAGATAAAAAGAGGCATGGTTTTTCATGTTAATAAACACACATCTTGTAGTTGGGAGAAGCGGGCTAAACAAGGAGCCAGAGTAAGGGTTATTAAAATAAGCATGATGGAATTTGGGATGAAATTGAAATGAAAGAGTGCTGGAAGTATTTTTGAAGTTTGTATGTAAATGACAATCATTTGAAGAATAAAACTGAAATTAATAATGAAAAGGAAATCTTAAAACACTACAGGAATTTTAAAAAATGAAGACTGCAGGGATGGTTGATTCAACTGGACATAAATGAACATGGCTTGCTTATACAGTAATTATGTATCTTATTTATATGTGAAAATTGCAACTGCATCTGACAATTAGAAAAAAATCTATTTTTATCCCCCCATATGAAGGAAAAGTTAGCAACAGCAAACACAAAAAACCATAGGAAAAAGTTTGGTGAATGTTCCTGGGAAAGTGTTTCTGACTGAAGGGATACAAATAAGTGACAGTAAGTAAAAAATTGGGAAGTTCAATTGTGGGAAAGAATTTGTAGATCAACTTTTACTTTTCAACAGATCATTGAGAAAATAAGTATGAATGTTCAAAAGAAAATGTATTATGTATTTGTTGAATTAGAAAAAGTGTAAGATAAAATTAGTCTTGTACAAATATGAAGGTTGGTTGCTGTGAAAAAAAGTACTGAATATGATGGAAATTGAATATGAGAATATTTTAAATAGATAATGGAATTTAAGCATTAGAATAACTGAAATGGTTAGCAAACACTTCAATAAGGTATATGACATATACTTAGCAGTTCAATGTATTTGTAGATGAAAATATCTGGAATGCTTGTGCAGATATTACCTGCCTGTTTGTTGGGGATGTAGATGAATATATAATTTTGCATACAGAGGTTGCTAAGATGTAGGATGTTGACTAAGAATTCAAATCATCTGCAGCAAATCTTAGATTTTGTAATGCAAAGACTTGCATAGGGAGCGAGCGCTTGCAAGTTATATACACTTCAGTGCTAGTGAATGTATGTACCTTGGTAGAAGAAAAAAGATGGAGAAATGTTAAAATGTGCAAATGCTGATTAATCCTGAATTCATGTGGTTTTAATACAGTAGCGAGGAACCAGTAAAAGTCTACGGAGATGGTTTCTCCTATCTTGCGTTTTCATTTCTTTGAGTCACTATGCTGTTCCTCCTTTGCGTGACATTTGCTCGCTCTGAAAAGCAACAGCACGAATCGGTCGGTATATAAATATGGCTTCTGTGAAGGATTCCTTTCCTGAGACCTATATGAACTCCATTAGGCCACACGGCACAATACTCATTTTTAAAAGTTGGAGCGACGAATGACAACCCTAACCAATGGGAGAAGGCGGCTTTTAGCCCGAAGGGCTTTTTGCACGGCCTGCTTGCTTTTACGAATTCGCGGCTCGAGAGAGAGAGAGAGAGAGAGAGGGAGGAATCAGGGACGCGCGAGCCTCCACCGGGATCGAAGAGGCCTCTGGGATCGTGCCGTGGTCCCCGCGCCCGAAACTTCTCCCCGGTGAGGCCTCGAGAGCCCAGAAGAGGTCCCCCTCGGCTTGGGAGCGCCGCCATCTCTTGCGACTCCGGAGCAAAGGAGGGGCGGAGGGTTGCTACGTGATTCTTTTGTCGATGAAGCGCCGTTTCAGCGCCGCTATCACAACTCCCCGTCCGTTCGGCACCCGTTACCAGCCTGAGGCGTCCGTCCGTCCGTCCCCCCCGCCCCAAACCCGCGCCCAGGGTTAGGGCGGGAAGGGCCTGGCGACGGGGGCCGCTTGCTGCACCGGGAGGCTCTCGCAGCAGCCCCTCCACACCTGCTGCTGTTAAGGCAAAGGACGGCTCGCCGCTTGCTCCTGCCTTGCCCTGTCTGGCCTGGCGGAGGCGCGCGGCTATGGGAACCCGCGCACCGTGACAGACCCAGGCAGGCGCCGGACCCTCGACGGGAATGTGCAAGCCGAGCCGGCCCACCAATGGCTCTCGGGGACGATGCGGCGGCGGTGGCGGTAGGTGCCGCCGCCGCCAAGTGTGAGCCTCCTGAATGCCTGCAGGGAGTCCTTGCAGCGGGCATCTCGAGGGCTTGGGCGGCCAGCGCTGGCTGTAGTCTACCGATGCTCTCGCCGCTGCCGCCGCCACCCCCGCCATGCCCTGATCGGAGGAGTATCGAGCCCGGCCCGGCCGCCAGAGGATCCCTCTTTAAGGCTGTCATGCTGCTTGGCGTGCTTTTAGTCCTTTGCCAGCGGGTCCAGGCGGAGCGAGGTAAGAAACCCGCCTGCAGAGCCGGGTCGGTAAATCACGGATGCGGGAGGCGGGAAGCAAGTCTTCAGTGATGGATAGCGAAGTGGTTGGTGATGGTCGTTTGGCTGCAAGCCGCTAGATGCAGTTATTATTGTCCGAGCACTTCCTCGTCTCGGAATATGCTGCCATTGTCTACTGAGTAACGGGGTTTGCATGAAGCTTTGCGCTGGTGTGTAAGGATGGTCGGCTATCAGATACTCCCTTTTTAAAGCATGGAAGGAGTCCTTTCCATGTAGCGCATAGGGGCCATGTTCTTCCATTTCCCGTCTTGCCGCTGTTACCTTCGCAGAAGTTAACCCCTGTCTACAGAATAGCTGCACTTTATTGCAAGATCCAAACCCTTATTTGTGTGGCCGTGGAGTACGTGCTTGGTTTTGGGAATGCTCCCGAAGGCTTTTAATATTTTAAAATCACATAGATTGGTGATCCTCTCTCTCTCTCTCTCTCTCTCTCTCTTCATAACATGACGTTACTTTTCAATAGGCGTTGGGGATCGTGTTTGTAAAGTTACCGACTGTGTAAGGAGTGCTCTGCGATCTCTCCTCCTAGTTCTTTTCCTTACCTGTTTTATTTTGCAGAGAAAAAGGCTGCAAGAGAAGATTCCAATTCTTACCTGAATTTGTTTCTGTGATTTGTTTTGTCAAAAGGGAGAAAGATCCCTCTGTGTTTATTATTTTTGAAAACCATTCCTATGCAGTTTTGTGTTTTTAAGTAGTAACAACGCAGAGATTCAAATCAGATGAATTGCTGCATATAAATCACAGACTTTTATTGTAAATATGCTTGGGTGACACAATTACCATGAAATATTTCTGCAAAATATTCATCTATTATGGTTATGGTAAAGTGCAATTCCCAAACTGTGGAATCTGTAACACTGGGATAAGGACTTAAAACTATTTGAGTGTATAAACAAATTTGTAAATTTTAGTCCAGTTTAGGTAAAAGACCAAGTTTTGGAAATGTTAAACTTCTTTTCAGTTTCAAGAGCACCTTATCATGCTTAAAAGAACTACTAAAAAGTATTGGAACTAGTTTCATGGGGATTTTTTTTTTTATTCAAACCACTTTTATTAGTAATAATAGTTTTTTATTGTTTGCCTCATGTTTTGCAAACTGTTCACTTTTCCACCTCTGTATTTCTAACAGAGGTTATAAGAAATTACAGAGAATTAGAAATTGTTGATAAAGTTTGTGACTTTGTTTTCTTTTGTGGTTTTATTAACTGAATTTCCTTGTTCTAACAGACCATTGATATCTTTTGGATGTGGTAGATGTTTTTGTACATTGGCAGTTCCCTACTTCAAGTTCATTGGACCATTTTGTGGCATGGCTTCCTTTGATTGTTTTGCTCATTGCCTCTCCCACGTAATGACATGGATTCTCATTCAAGTTAAATCAGAGAAAACTAAATCTAGTTAAATCAGACAAAAATCACAGGCATGTCATCGTGCAGAGTAGTTCCATTTTAATTTCTTGTTCTTATTCTCTTAGACTACATGGCTTTATTTTTCTTAGGATGCTATTTAATTAGCATACTGCTATTTATAAGAATTAATTTTTAAAGAAAATTGCTAATGAAATTCAAATGTGGATATGTTACCTTCAACATTATGGATCTAAATATTGGGTAGAAGATTATCTCCAAATTATGTGCTTATTTTCAGATCCAGTAATTTTCTACTTATGAAAAATGCTTTGGTTCATAAATACAGTTATATTTATATAAACCTGTTTGTATAATATATGTAAAGTAGACTTGCATTAGTTTGAATCAATAATTCTTCTTTGTGTGCAATATCCAATAGTCTTGTAAAGACAGAAGAACTCCAGACTTAGCTGTTACCTGGCTGGTATGTAGTTAGTTTTAATAATATAATGGAATTGTGCAGATTGTTTACTGGGTCAGAGATAAGATAAAGTATGTTAGAGTTTGCATGAAAAAGTAGATATGAATTTCAGCTATCTTGGTGTAACTATATCATTCTCTGCATAGCTCCATATGTGAAACCTCTGAGAATTTATGTTTAGATCTAGTATCATCATATGTGTATTTCTGTGATAGAGCAGCAGATACATATGGTGACTATGAGTTCTCTTTCTGTTCTCTCTCTGTCTCTCTGTAGTATATAGATTATTTTCCACAATTTTCACTTTGTACTTACACATGATTTCAGATGAGAGAAATAGAAATTAAAACTTGTTTAAGTATAAGTAATAACCACATTTGTAAAAAGGTTGCATATATCTTACTAGAAAATTCCAAAATATGAGTGAAATAGACAGAAATAAATACATGTGTTGTATATTGCATAAAATTTTCTATCTTTATATTAATGAAATGTCTTTACCTGGAAATACAGGTGAATATTGTCTCGCTATTTGAACTATTCTAAATATTTAAACTATATTATATTATCTAATAGTATTAGAAAACTGGTTTTATCAGATATTATTTCAATAAAAGACATAAAAGCATTCTGCATTTTCTTAGCCTTCTTTAACTTAATTTTGCTGTTGTTCAGTCACTAAGTCGGTACGCCTCTTTGTGACTCCATGGATCAAGACCCTCTTTGCTCCACTGTCTCCCAGAGTTGGTCCAAATTCATGTTCATTGTGTTGATGACATTATTTAACCAGTTCACCCTCTGCTGCCCTCTTCTCCTTTTGCCTTCAATCTTTCGCAGCCTTAGGGAAAGGACTCTTTTCCAACTAGTCCTCTCTTCTAATTTGGTAGCCAAAATATTTGAGCCTCAGCTTCAGTATCTGTCCTTCCAAAGGACAGTAAGGATTGATCTTTAATTTTAACTGTTCCTTTTTTTTACTATGATCTTTTCTACTATTATTTTCCCTGTATACACATTATACAATCAAATAAAATAATCTTATATTATAACTTTATAATAATAAAATACATTTTTCTACCTCCTTTTAATAGTTTTCTCTTGTCTGTGTTGTCTTTCTCAACCATAATTACTTTCATTTCATCATTTCATCAAATATCATTGGTTTATGCATATTACAAAATCAGTGTATCCTTTTATGTCTGACTGCCTGCCTACCTGCCTGCCTGCCTACCTGCCTGCCTGCCTCTTTCTGTCTGTCTGTCTGTGTCTGTCTGTCTATCATCTATTTAATTTCAAAAGCTGCCCAGTTTACAATAAAAATAGATAAAACACATGCAGTAGAGAAAATAAGAACACATGGCAGCCAAGACTCATAAAACAACTATTAACATAACCAGGAGATGGGCTTTATTACATTCCTAGGGGCCTTGGCTGGGGCACTGAGCCAAGGTTTCAGTGTCTTAAGGAAGTGTGATATTCCAAAGGACAGGTGTCATGGCAGAAAGAGCTCTCCTTTTGCACTCTACCAGCTGACACTTTTTAACGAACAATTTTCATAGCACTCCCATCCTGCAGGATTGGATAAGATTGGTAGAAACAGATGGGGAAGAAACCACATAAATAATCTGGTCCCAAACCATGAAGGATTTTAAAGGTGACTACCAGCTATTTCTCCTCTTATATGCAGCCTCTTTACTTTATAATACTGCCAAGGATCATTTTTCATGCTTCCCATTAGTGTAACTTCACAAACTTGAACAAAATTCTTACTTTGTTCTAAGTGGACTTCACATCTTCCTATACAAGGAACTTACTTAACAATGGTAATTGGGGATAGCAACTCTGTCACTAAGCAATGCAGTCATAATGTGCAACATCACATGACTTATTAATTGATCAGGGCAGTTGCAGCAGTCCTAATTGTTGTTGTTAGGTGACTCCTGTGTGGTTGCAGGAGTCATGTGATGCAGTCTCACAGTCATGTGATCGTTGAACCTTCTCCAGGCTTCCCCTTTGATTTTACTTGTTGCAGTGAAGGTCACAAATGGTGAAGATGTGACGGTGGAATGCTGCAATGTCATAATTGCCAGCTGATTGCCAAGCGCAGACTCTGAGATGACCACAACTATGAGAATCTGTTATACGTTCCCCTCATTCACTGTTGTAAGTTTGAATGGTTGCTGAATGAATGATAATTCAATGAGGACTACCTATATTCACATTCTGTTTATTTTGCTTGGCGATTAATCTGTTTTATAGTTTTTCATATGGGAGTCATCCTTTCTCTTCCTGCGGTTGTTCTACATTCTCTATGGTATTTTTCACTTCTTTTCTGTCACATCTATTTTCCCCCCAAAATCGACGATGTTACTAAAAAGTTCCATTTGCCTTCATAAATCCAGGAATATACAGAGTATAAGTGAGGGCCTCACATCACTGCAAAATGGGTAGAGGTAGGAGTCCCAGGCAAAATACTTCTGAAACCACCTGTGATATATGAAATGTATAGAATTCAGATTTTTTTTCTTCCCAAAATAATACATCTTTCAAAACAATAGTCAGTGATTTATGCTTATTTGCTTAAGTGGGTCGAGACATTTGTTTCTGGAGAAAAGAACTTCTTTCTGGTTGAAGTAAATAAAAATGATAAATATATTCAACTGAATAGTCTCTTCCTGATCCTTAATTGTCTAAACTTCTCTATGGATTGATACTGGTAATAAACATTTGTTTTTGTTTCAGTGCAAATATAGACTTGGGGAGAACCTTGAATTGTATCCAATGATATTCTGCCAGCAAGCTGAACTGTGCCAGCAGATGAATTTCCCTTCCAATCTGCTCCAGGGGATCTGGGGACCCTCTAAAGCAGTTTTCAAGGACACATAAATGAGGAGAGGAAGGAAAACTGTTATTGCTTGAAGTTTGTTGTGTAATATTGCATCGGCATTCTATTTGAGCTTCTCTTTTATCCAAAACTTCAACTTTGTTTTCACAAAGGTCTTTTTAAACCTATTAGTTCATTGTGCTTTATTGGAATCAGGGGGTTTTTTTAAATAAAATTTGAAAAATTAATATTATTTTGTTGACAGTTTCAGTCATGTACTGTAAAAATTT